TAGGAGAGTAACAATCCAAAACACTGGACTTTGATTCGTAACATGGGAAGGGTTAGGGTAGGGTAACTATTGTAAGTCGAGGACTACCTGTAAGATTCACAGGGGTCTGGTCACTGCCTCTGGACTTGGTTTGACAGGTAGTCTGAGAGCATTTGCACCAAGACAAAGTCCTTGTGTGTCCAATCACACTTGGCCAATAAAAGAATTCTGTTCTATTCTATTCCAGTCCTTGACTTACAACAATTCGTTTAATGACTGTTCAAAGTTATAGTATCACTGAACAAAAGGGAAGTTATGACCACTTTTCACACTTATGACCGTTGCAGCATCCCCGTGGCCATGTGATCAAAACTGAGGTGCTTGGCAAGTGGCTCCTATTTATGACGGTCGCGGTGTCCCGGGGGGGGGTCACGTGATCTCCTTTTGCCACCTTCTGACAAACAAAGTCAACGGGGAAGCCCGATTCACTTAATGACTTGCTTTCCTAACTTAACAGCCGCAGGGATTCACTTAACAACGGTGGCAAAGAAGTCATAAAGTGGAGCCAAATTCACTTAACAACGGGAATTTGGGGCTCAGCTGTGGTAACGCAAGAGCTACCTGCATTTCTTTTCTTGTTAGAGTGCTCTCCCGCCTTCATTTCACACCACTCGAGGCAGCGTGCGGTCCTAATGTTGTCCCCTCTTCTTTTCCCTGCCACAACAACCCTTCGAGGTGGGGTGAGCTGAGAGGGACGGAGGGGCCCCAAGCCCCCCCCCCCCCAAGCTGGCCAGGACCAGAATCCCCCTTTCTCCTGGTCTCTCACCCAGCATCTTCCTGGCTCTCTCCGCCGGTTCCAAGCTCTGCTGCGGTTCCGCTCTCCTCTTATCCCTTTCGCTACTCCAGCCACACATTGCTTCCCGCAGGCCGCAAAGGAACTCAGTCTGGCCGGGGGCTGCGATGACCGGCTCGAAGGGGGTCAAGCCCTTCTCCGTCCTCTGGATCACGGGCGCCGCCACCCCTGCCTCTGGACCGCCTGCCCATCGGCCGGACGTTCGCCGCGAGCCGAAGGTGCTGAAGGCGTGGGGACAGTTGCTTGCAGCCGTGGGCAGGCTCCTGCGCCCCTGCGTGGACACCTGGCCAGGGAAAGCCGCTAAGGAGGTGAGTGGGTTGTGTGTCCGGACACCTGCTCACGTGGGTGTTGCATCCAAGCAGGGAAAGTCCCCAAGGGGATGAGTAGACTGGATGTCTCTCTCTCTCTCTGTGTACGTGTGTGTGTGGGGGGGGGTGCGCGCTTGTGTTGCACCTGGACAAGAAAGACAACCAAGGAGGTAAGTAGACTGCAAGTGTGTGTATTGGGGTTGGGGGGTGTTTGTGTTGCACCTGGACAGGAAAAACAACCAAGAAGGTGAGCAGACTGCAGGTATCTGTGTGCATGTGTGTGTCTGTGT